CCCTTCTAATGGAAGGGACGGTGTCGACGATAAAGCCCATGGAAACCATCTCTTTCTTTCTTCCTTTTTTTGAGAGTTGCTCTTGCCCAGGCTGGAGTGCAATGGCGCAATCTCGGCTCACTGCAACCTCCGCCTCCCGGGTTCAAGGGATTCTCCTGCCTCAGCCTCCTGAGTAAGCTGGGATTACAGGTGTGCGCCACCACGCCCGGCTTACTTTTGTATTTTTAGTACAGACGGGGTTTCACTATGTTGGCCAGACTGGTCTCGAACTCCTGACCTCAGGTGATCCGGCCGCCTCGGTATCCCAAAATTCCGGGATAACTGGCGTGAACCACTGTGCCCAGCCGGAAAGTGTCTCTTTCTTCGCTCCGCCAGCCTGGGTTTTACCCTCAGCCAGCCTGAGTTTGGTGGCGCCAGCAGCAGGCGCCGCGGTCCCCGGCGTCCCTCCCGGACCTCCCGCCGCGCTGTGCGGAGCCCACGCGTTCCCAGGTGCGCGCGCGTCCTGCACAGCGGCCCAGACAACCCGGCTCAGACTGGGGCCTGAGCCCTTCCCCTCGCCACCCTCCCCTGCGGGAAACGGTCCATATCCGCCTGTCCATCATCATCATCATCATCATCATCATCATCATCATCATCATCATTTATTTATTTATTTAAAGACAGGGTCTCACTCTGTCGCCCAGGCTGGAGTGCAGTGGCGCCATCACGGCTCACTGCAGCTCAAGAGATCCTCCCAAGCAGCAGGGATGACAGGCCTAAGCCGCTGCTCCCGGCGGACGGGGGTCTCCCCATGCCGCCCAGGCTGCACCCGGGTCTTCTGACCGCGCGCGGCCCCTTTCATCGACGTGTTACAGACACTCGCGCCCGCTTTCCCAAGGGTCCGGGCCACTCTAGCCCGCAGCGAGCAAGGGACCCACAGGCTGCGGCTTGGGGCTGTTTTACATTTCCGCAGACCGCGACTGTCTTCCCCAAACTGTCCACCACGGCAGGTGTTTGCACTTGTCTGCCATCTGGGAACTCTCAGCAATTTGTGTTTGGAGGAGCTGAGTTTTGGATGTGGAGTTCTGAGAGCCCTCGGAGCCCCCAGGCTGGGGCATGGGAAATTGTGTTACATTTCCCTGGAAATCATCTCGCACCTGGGTTCATAAAGCAGGAACGCTGCAGGTGGGAAATGCATTCCTCATCAAGCACTGAAAATCAGACACATTTCCAGACGCATTCCGGTGTTGCCAACAGGGTCACAGAGGCAGATACAGCGGGCCATCATGCAGAATTCCACGCGGGAGAGCTTCCCGAGAACCAGCCTCCTAAAGGAAAGATCTCTCTCCTGAAGCCCCGTGGAGCTTTAGAGAATCCTGCTCAAGCGGGGGCTTCCTGAGACAGGAAGAAAGTGAACTTTGACATTGTTTTTTCAGAAGAACACACTGCAGGCATCAGCCACGCTTGAACCCTTGGAGGACGTGTGTTTTTACTCCCGGGAAAGCCTGTGAGACATGGAACAGCCCCTGCAGTGACTTCTCAGGCTGCTTCTGCTAGGAAAAAGCTCCTGCCTCCTTATTGTATCTAAGATAACAAACACGGTGCTTTTGAAAACCTGCTTCCGGAGTCTATCAATGAAAACAATTAACCAACTGCAGAACTAGTGGTTGAAATTGAAGGCCGCTTTTATTATTTTAGAAAATGTTTATTTCCAGTTACAATGTAATCCAGGGAAGACACTGTTATGGCACAAAAATTAAGTTTTAGTAAGAGTTTTGTAAATATATGAGCTAAATGAACATTTACACACCAAACAGCTTTAAAGACAGCACTTCCTGGAAACAGTTCGCTGCTTGAGTGTTATTCAAATCCCTAACTTGTTCACCTTGTTACGATGTTCTGTAATGCACAGGGGAAAAAATCTTTTGGGTGGTCAGAAACCTTAGCGTGATCAACCCAAGATTTGCACCATGATATAAAATTAGGCAGAAAAGTGCCTTCCCTGACCTTAAATGTACCATGTCCACAGCTATATTAAAGGTTATTTAGGATAGCCTCAACTTGTGGGGGCAGTGGGTGGTGAAGGTGGCAGGACTCTATTCATCTTTAGAAAATACATTGACTCTCTGAAATCATGCAATACTCTAAGTATTTATTTTGGTAGAGATTCATGAATTGGTGTTACAAATATCAGACGTTCAAAAAATTCAGAAAAAAGGACTTTATTCATTAATACAAAATAATTAAAGAAAGTGTTAATAATACTTTTTAAAAAGCCTAAAGCAAAAGGAGACCTAAACCCTATTGGGTTAATTTGTGTGTGTGTGTGTGTGTGTGTGTGTGTGTGTGTGTATTATATAATATATATAACATATATAATAAATATGTTACATATTTTTATATAATTTTTTATAAAGTGAATGTTTAAATTTCCTTTATAAAAAGTGAATTTATATAAAAAGTGAAGGGTTAATTTTTAATAAAGTGAATGTTTAAATTATATTCATAGTTATTATTCTAGGTATTCTTGTGTAGGAATTCTATGATATATCAACTTACTTGTCCAGATCAAAGAAATCCAGGGTAAATGAGAGATATGCTGGCCTGCTACATTTCTTTTGTAAATTTAAGGATTTCTTGGTGTAAATTTTATTAAAAAATACAAGAATAATTCAGTAAAACAAAGTTTAAAAAGGAGAAATGAGTGATAATATAAGAAATGGTTTTAGAATTGAAAAAAATGAATTTTGGTATTGTATAGTGATGTTTAATATTTAGAAAAACCAAGGATATAAGAAGTCATTGTAGATAGCAGCTTAAAAACCATGTATGTAAATGTAATAGGTATAGCACTTGAATTTTAAAATAGGCTTAGAGATTTTTTAAATTTTTCTATTAAATCAAGAGTAAAATAGTTTCAGTGAAATTTCCAGGGTAGGAAAAAAAAAGGTCTGGAATCTTGCCCACAGAGAGAGGCAATTTCTTTTTTTTTTTTTTTTTTGAGACGGCGTTTCGCTCTTGTTACCCAGGCTGGAGTGCAATGGCGCGATCTCGGCTCACCGCAACCTCCGCCTCCCGGGTTCAGGCAATTCTCCTGCCTCAGCCTCCTGAGTAGCTGGGATTACAGGCACGCACCACCAGGCCCAGCTAATGTTTTGTATTTTTAGTAGAGACGGGGTTTCGCCATGTTGACTGGGATGGTCTCGATCTCTTGACCTCGTGATCCACCCGACTCGGCCTCCCAAAGTGCACCCGGCCGAGACAGGCGATTTCTATTTTTATTGGACGTTTCAATGTCTTAAAGGACTAGTTAAGTAGAGAAGCGTTCCACACTGCCTGAAAGAGAAGGACCCAGCCTTTAGAATCATGGATACCTCAGAGACCAACAGGATGCAAGACACGCTTTCATTACTTACATGAGCTGAAATCAGTATGCTAACCTGCAAAAACAGCACAGGCACTGTTCTATTGCAGAACCTCACTTCTTCATAGATGAGTGATTTTCAAGTAGATGAATCGAATTCTACCCTCATATCCACTTAGACCCACTAGACTATGTCAATTGCACAATACTGGCATTTCTATAAACATGTTGTGACTAAATTCAATTTTAAAATGTAAAAACACAATTTGAGTTCTCATGCTGAACTCCAACCCCACTCAAAATCAAACTGTGGGTAAACAAGAAGCTCGCTACTGTTAAGAACATTTATTATGGTAGAACTTAAAGAATCAAGTAATCAGCTGGGCGTGGTGACTCATGCTTGTGATCCCAGCACTTTGGGAGCCTGAGGCAGGCGGATCACCTGAGGTCAGAATTTTGGGACCAGACTGAGCAATATGGGGAAACCCCATCTCTACTGAAAATACAAAATTAGCCCGGTGTGGTGGAGCGTGCCTGTAATCCCAGCTACTCGGGGTGGGGGCTGAGGCAGGAGAATCGCTTGAACAGGGAGGCGGAGGTTGCAGTGAGCTGAGATCGCGCCATTGCACTCCAGCCTGGGCAACAAGAGTGAAACTCCATCTCAAAAGAAAAAAAAAAAAAAGAACTAAGTATTCACATCCACTCCATGAGCTGTACTGCTCTTGGATGATCACTATTCCATTTTCTAAAATGGCCAAAGCTTTTTATCAGAATGCTTCTCACACTAGGATCTTCTAGCAGCCTTTATTACTCACAAGAACGAAGTCCTGCTGCCTTAAGCCTATGGCATACACTGCATGTCATGAGTTAACTTTGGAGAGAAATTATGCGTCTAGAATGGCTCCAGCTATGCACCAGCCTGGAGAGAAGTGAGTGCCATTCACAGTTTTACCAAGGGCTTCCTTCTTTCTCTTTTTCTTTCCTTCTTTCTTTCTTTCTTTCCTTCCTCACTCTCTTTCATTCTTTCTCTTTCTTTTTTTCTCAATCTGGTTGATAAAGGCTTCAAGGATATGTATGAAACAGCATTTTTCAAGCCTAGGGGCCTGTCCAGTGTGTCCTACGGCAAGCAGAATGCACTAATGAACTATTTGTGTTTGACATGCAAACCTAGGCGCAGTCAGCAATCTGAGACTTGGAAATCGCATTCCTTTCATCAGCTTGTTAGTGGAGCACCCTTTATGATATAAAACAGAAAGTATACTTGGAGTGCAGTTCCAAATGCACCATCAAGAAGTTAATTGATAAAAAATGCATTAAATTGGAAAGCATAGGGTCTTGCTGAATAGGGGTTAATGATACTCAGAAGTTGAAGGTGAAAAGTTTGAGTAGAAATAGGCTCAACATGACCGTCGTTCATTTTATAAACAAATGGGGACCAGGATACTGCAGCCGTGTTTGCAGGACAGAAAATTCTGCCGTCTTCCAGCCATGCCCACACACATAAACAGCTTTCCCCATCAGGACAGCTCTGGTGTGGAGGGTAAAGGGGGCACACGCCCTCGGCCCAGGCAGGGATCCTCAGACACTCATATTATTTACACCGTAGAAAGCAAACAGCCTGCCCACAAAGAACGATTAGGAAACTTGAAGTGTTTTATTCCATACTTTTTCTTTAAAGTGTAGATTGTCATAGATTCATCTGTATAAATAATTTTCCTGCCAACATTAGTTCGCTTTTCACTTCCCATTCAAAATCTTCAGAACTTCAAGTATTTGAATGCACTTAAAAATCTCCCCTGCTTTTGTTTTATAGAGTACATTCTCATTACAATTAGGCAACTCATGAAGTTGAAGAATTTCTTTTAAAAGAAAGTTCAAAATCTTTACTAGTATGCAGTAGGACAAATTAGCACTGTCTTGGTCAATAATCATTTTAACAGTATGTAAAGAAAGAAAAACACTATTTTTCTTTCATTTTTCCTGAAAGAACAGTGGGAGAAAATAGGCATATCTGTACCATTCAGATCAAAGCACAAAATATCATTTAAAAAATAAATACCTAAGGCATACCTGACCACTTTTATGTCAATTTCCTCAACTGTTTAAAAATGGCCTCAGGTGTGGCTGTGTCTCCACCTGCCTTGTGCCAGCAACCTCTGCAGCCCTTGCCCACTGAGCCTGCGTCCGGAGGTAACTGCTCTTTGTCACTTGTCATGAAGCCTGCAGCTCGATATCCTGGGCTTCACATGCAATTTCAGAAACTCAAATGACACTACATAGACTCGCTCTAAATCTTTTTTTTTAGTGCAGTTTGGCCAATATCCCAAATGAAATTCAACTCTAAGTTAAAAGTATCAAACAGAGATAGAGCTAAGTGCCTCCGTGACTCTCTTGGCTGCCCAGAGGCTCTGGAGAGCGTAGGAATAGAAAACCCAAATGCCCCAGAGCTGAAGGGACTGCAGGAGACCTGTTGCTTTACCACAACAGAACAGTTACCCCAGAGACAGTCCTCGCGACTGGGCTTCTGCGCTGCTGTGAAGATCTTAAAGGCCCACAACCCTTGTCCTCCCAAACCCCCAAACTCAGGAAGTGGGCATCATCCCCACTATAACTCACAGCGCTAAGAAGAGCAAGCACTGAACACGGAAACCTGACCTCTCCCCCATCGTCCACCTCCCGGGACTCTGGCCGCTCACTTTCAGGCTCTATCTGCTGGTGGGAACTGCACTTTGGTTTTGGTTTCTAGGAAAAAGACCACTACACAGCTGTCTGGAGACACCCGGGCCCTAGATGGCCAAGTCCTCTGGCCTGGCCCGCCCACTGCTGGCCTTGCTGGCCCTACCCGGGTCTCCCAGGAGGAGCAAGGGCGGCTGGTGCATCTGGGCCGCGGTGGTCACAGCCTGCTCCTCCTCCTCGGGGGTCCCTGCCAGGGCGCTCCCCTCTAGACTGCTGCCGCTCCCGTCCAGCAGCAGGGGCGCAGCGCCCGCCTCGGCCTCGTGCGCGAGCTGCTGCGGGGAGCCGCTGCTGGTGGGGCTGGGCGCGGCGGGCGCGGCCACCGCCGCCGGGGAGGCCTTGAGCGCCGGGGGCTGCTGCTCGGCCGCCTGGTTGGCCCAGTTCCGCTCAGTCATCAGCAGGTGCTGGTGGCCGTTGTAGAGCTTGGCAGACTGGCCCTTCCCGCGCGCCTCGGTCAAGGCTAGCATTTTGAAGTCCACGGCCGGTGGCGGGGCCCCGGGGTAGCCCACGGCGCGGGCCTGTCCCAGGGGCGCAGCGCTGTGCGCGTAGTAGGGCGGGAACCCGACGGCGACGGCGGACGGCCGGGAGCTGGAGGGCAGGGGCGGGGGATCTGCCGTCCCCGGCTGGGTCTCGGAGGCGTCCGGGCCCAGGCGGCTGGTCACGCCCTGCTTGAGCTTCTTCCAGCCCAGGTGGTAGATCTCCAGCATGTTGAGCAGCAGGGACGCGCAGGCTACCGCCAGCATGAAGATGATGAAGATGGTCTTCTCCGTGGGCCTGGAGATGAAGCAATCCACCGTGTTGGGGCAGGGCCAGCGGTCGCAGCGGTAGAGTGGCTTCAGCTCGAAGCCGTACAGAAAGTACTGGCCGGCGATGAAGCCCACCTCGAACAGCGTCTTGAAGATGATGTTGAAGACGTAGGTCCGCAGCAGCGCCCCGGACATGCGCACCCTGCCGCGGTCATCCCGCGACCGGGGCTTGTCCTGCGCCGGCTCCTTGGGGCCGGGGCTGTCCCTCTTCAGCTGCTCCTCCTCCTCCCTCTCTTTCTTCTTCTCTTCCATGCGCACGATGTGCAGCACGTGGCCCAGGTAGATGAGGGTGGGCGTGGACACGAAGATGATCTGCAGCGCCCAGAAGCGGATGTGGGAGATGGGGAAGGCCCTGTCGTAGCAGACGTTCTCGCAGCCCGGCTGCTGGGTGTTGCAGGTGAAGTCTGCCTGCTCATCGCCCCACACGTCCTCCGCCGCGGCCCCCAGCACCAGGATGCGGAAGATGAACAGCACCGTCAGCCAGACCTTGCCAATGACCGTGGAGTGCTCCTGTGCATTTTCCAAGAGTCTTCCCAGAAAGCTCCAGTCACCCATTGCTTCGGATTCCTAACCTGTAAGGAGAAAACGCTCATTAACCCCGGGGCTGCGATGGCTGAGCGCCAGGGTCTGCACCTGACGGCTGCAGCCACTGCCCGATGGCCTGGGATGGGGCCGATGGGCAGCTTCTCCATAGGGCGGGCATCGCAGCTCCCCGGGACCTGGCCGATCAGCCACGATGCACGTGCAAGCGTCCATGAAGAACCACAGGTTTTAAACTCTTCATTTCAGAGACAAGGAAGCCAGAGCCAGGAGAGAAATGCCCCTGCTGATCTCCAGACTGCCGGGGTCTTCTCTCTGAGGCTGACCCCACAGGAGCTCTGGGGCTTTGCCACCACTGGGGCCAACTCTTGAATTGCTGCCATCCCTATGCCCATGCCACCTTCAGAACTTCTGCTATGCTAATCTAATACCTCTTCTGCTTTCTCTGTCTTCACATCAACTCTTTATGCTTAAATTTATCTAAACTAGGAAAGTTTACTACTGTCCGTGGAAAACTGCCACTAATACCTTCCGTGGATGGTAGCTTTAAGAGTAAATACATTCCAACTCAGCCAGCTTTATTTTGGAAATAAGGAAATAAAGGCGTACTCCCCCTTTTTTTTAAAAAAAAGAATAAATTCCTTGATGACAGCGAAGTTCACACATTCTATGGGATATTGCCTGGCAAAGCTCTGGGTGTAAGCTCTTTGTTGCAAAGACGAAGATGAGGAGTACTGGAGAGGTGTTGAACAGACTAGTACCAAACCCAGCCCTTCTCCAAGGCCACTATTTGGGTGGAAACAGAATTGATAAGGGAACAGGTCTTCTCACACGATTCAGCATCAACTCACGACCACCTGAAATCACCTCACCTGATCGAGTGTCCACACTGGATTCTGCGCAAAGGCTGGAGGGGTGGTGGATGGAGGCAGAGGAAGCACCTGGGGTGAACCGAGCTTGAGGATCCTGCCAGGAGCAGAGGCCAGCTCAGCAGAGCCAGACCCGCAGCGGCTGCCATCCAACAGCACTCTGAGGGTGCCCAGCATGTCCGGGGGTGGACACAGCATGCCCAGACTCGGTCAGGGTGCAAGTGAGTGGGGCCCAATCAGCATGGGAGATGGCATGGGTCTTTGGTCTTCTGGTCCAGAATGCCTATGGGTGCTGGCAGGGCTCACCAGCCCCACCTGCCCCTGAGGTGCGACTCCAAAGAAGGCAGCCCATAGAGGGCGGGTGGTCCCAGCTGCAGACCCACCCCTAGGCCCAACTCAGCAAGCGTTGCGTAAACACCCCCAGGCAGGCAGTTTCCTCTCTCTGAGCGTGTGTACACCATGGTCATTCACAGGGATGGGGGGAGGTGGGACCACAGGCCTGCTGAGAAGGCGGCAGTGCCCACAGACACAGGGGATGAAGATGAGAAGGTGTCCCGAGTTGCTGCTGCCCCAACAGGCTGGATGCTGGGAACGTGAACGGGAAGACAGCTCCAAGCTATGCAGTGAGGAATGTGGTCTCGGCTGTGAGGACACAGTCTCCAGTGGAACCAAAGAAAACACTTGTCATTTTCAATTTAAAATATTTTAGGCTGGGCACAGTGGCTCACGCCTGTAATCCCAGCACTTTGGGAAGCTGAGGCAGGCAGATCACTTGAGGTCAGGAGTTTGAGAACAGGCTGGCCCACATGGTGAAACCCCATCTCTGCTAACAATATATAAATTAGCCAGGTGTGGTAGAGCGCACCTGTAGTCCCAGCTACTTGGGAGGCTGAAGCAGGAGAATCGCTTGAACCCGAAAGGCAAAGGCTGCAATGAGCCAAGATCGTGCCACTGCACTCTAGCCTGGGTGACAGAGCAAGACTCTGTCTTAAAAAATATATATATTTAAAATATTAACTTTTATGAACTTGTTCAAAGGACAAATTAACAAAAAATTCTACTCACTAGCAATCTAAAGAAACAGACGAATGTTAACCCTCCCTTACAATGAACTCCCACGTTTTGCTTGGGCCCCGGAGCTCTGCGAGAAAGCTGGCTGTTCTCGCGTCCTCCCAGGCTCTCACCTTCTGCTGTGGCTGTCATCTTTTCCTGTGTTCTCAGGAAGTGGAATGATTTACTTTAGAAACTGAATTACTGCACTTGAAACCATCCCATCTGCCCCATGAGGGACGTCTGGGAACCATTCTGGGTCACTTTCTGCTTCCCCTCCAAGTGCCCCTCTGGGCTGCGACCAGGCCCCCTAATGGCATCTCTGCCCCTACCCGCCCAGGCGTCTGGGCAGATGCTGCACAGAACAGAACCATGATAGCAGGCACGACCCACCAGGACCTGGGACCAGACATGCTGCAGCCTGAAATTCCACCTTTAGGTCTCTGCACATGCTGTTTCTCCAACCTGAAGCCCTGCCCCATCCGGCCACTGCCTGCTGACCTGCCCCTTGCCTCCACTGTCCCCTCGGAGGTGGCCACCGCAGGCCTACAGCAACGCCCTGGGTTCTCTCCCCCACTTGCCATGCCCTGGTTTAATGGCTGTCACCTCCTCCCTCCTCCCCCTACCCCGCCTCTGCTCCAGCAGGTTCCTTCCATTCCCTCCATCCTTTCACAGCCCCACCTGCCAAGCTTCCCTGGGCAAGGGCAGCCTCTGGGCTCTAGAGAACACCTGCCCCCCGTGCCCTTCCCCTAGGCCTGGCTCTGAGGGCGGAGCTGGCACAGGCATCCTCGCCACTCCCGGTCTACAGGCAGAACAGCCAGGTAATATGCCTTCTGGAAGCTTCTGAGGAGAGGCCACTGTGGGTGGCTCATGCCCCTTCCACACGCTCCAGCAGGTCTTGCTAAAAAGCAGTCTACCCCGGTGCTGGGACAGGGGCCTGGCCGGCCCCCGACACAGGGTGGATGGCATGGAGCACCGTGAGGGAGGGGTCTGCTGCCGGCGTTTCCCTGTGGGGCCAGTGGAGGCAAAATGTTCTGCCATGTTTGGGGTGACCCCACAGGTAAGAACTGTCCCACCCCAAATGCCCATCATGCACCTGCTGAGAAACACGAGGCTGAATGACCGCTTATTCCATTGGTAAACCAGAGGATAGGACGGGGAAGCTGATGGCAGCGGCTCAGCCTACTCCAGATCCTATAGGTCCAGGGGCTGCAAAACACTTAAACATATGCCCTTGGAAGAGCCTCGCGACCTCTGAGTGCAACCTACAAGAACGACGACCAGCCACCAGCCTGACCCTTGCTTGTGCCCTACCAGGGGCTGAGGCTGTGTCCCAGAGGCCAGACGACAGACTGTGTCCCAGACGGGAGCATCCGGCTCTCGGGCACTACATGTGGCAGCACACGGGGGATCTGTGTGGATCTTTCTGGAAAAGAATGAGAGACATGAACATAACAATACCCTTGACCTCGAATTCTACTCCAGGACATCGTACTAAGGAAATAATCAGACGTGGATAAATGTGTGCACGTGGCGTATTGTGATGTACCCATGAGCAATGACTGGAAACAGACAGCCGGTAGAGGATGAACAGTTACCCGAGCAGTGCTGGCTGGCCGTGGCTGGCACCGTGCTCTGGCCAACCAGCTCCTTCTCCCATCCTTCCCTCCCTTGCCTGCCTCTGCTGTGACTGGGAAGGGAAATATTTGCTTCTTTGTCCTCCCTTGTGGCTGGAGGTGAATAGAAAAGGCAGTTCTGTCCAGTGAGGTGTAAGACGTCTGCTGGGGAATGTCTGGGAAAGCGCTGGTTTTCTAAGAAGAGGGCAAGTGGTCCTTGTGCTGTCCTTTCCCTTTCTTTTCCACGTAGAACAGGCGTCCCCAAACTTTTTACACAGGGGGCCAGTTCACTGTCCCTCAGACCATTGGAGGGCCACCACATACTGTGCTCCTCTCACTGACCACCGATGAAAGAGGTGCCCCTTCCTGAAGTGTGGCGCGGGGGGGGGGGTGCGGATAAATGGCCTCAGGGGGCCGCATGCGGCCCGTGGGCTGTAGTTTGGGGACACCCAACGTAGAGTATAGATGTGATGCTGGAGCTGGACAGCCACTTTGCAAGCATGAGTCCAGAAGCATGGCAGGGCACCTGCTGTGAACTGCGGAACTCCCGAATCAGCCCCATCAGCCACCTACAGATTTCTTACGTGAGGGGAAGATCTAATTTCTTCAAATTAGGTTTTCTGTTGCTCGCAAGTGAAAAAGAATCCCTAACTGATACACGATCTTAAATGCTTTATGAAATAAAGCCTGGGAAAATGAAAAGCTGGGGTTCATTTATAAACTACTAAAATATAAAGTAGCCATGAGATGTAATTTTTCAGAACGTTAATGACATGAAAAATGACGATGCTATAATGATAAGTGACAAGAGCTTAGGACAACACTATAGTCTGAAACCAGCTCCTTTATACACGCTCTTACATGGACACAGAAGGAGGAGGAACGATACTGAAATGTTAACAGTGGTGCTTCTGAGAACGGGTGATTTTCCTTTTCACGGTTCTCTGCATTTTCTCTGACAACATATCACATTGCTCATCCTAAAAGATCAATGACCATGGCTTTCATTTTTCAAAGTTGTAGCTTTGGAAAAAACCAGCTGACTCCTTTTTTGTTGTTCTTTCACTGTGGTTTCTACTCCTTTCATTGCTTTAATCGTGTCTGTAGTAAGCACACAAATACAATACAGTTCGCACGCTTAGCCCCATGTCAGAGGATAGCGACTGTGGGATCACTGAGAGTTTAGAGGGGATTCCATCCTCCTGCCTGGCAATCTCCCATGTCAGGCGCAGCATTTGGAGAAAGCAATTTCCCCAACAGACTCTAAGCGAGCCAGGGCCAGGGTGCCCGTGTCCCTGTCACTCACTCTGAGCTTCATGACTACACTTCACAGTTTGGGTTTTGTTTTGTAAAACACATGTGTGAATAAATGAAAATTTAACCAGAGGGCCGACAATCTGTCTGGGAGACTGACAGTTAGATCCTGTTCAGACCTGCGTGGAAGCCTCCCCAGCAGATGTGGGTCCACCTCCCCTCACTGTCAGATTTGGTTGGCTC